TATATCTCGAGCGAGATTGAATTTTATTCATCACCAAGCGATAAAAGAAAATAGCTTCAGATAGCTTAAAGTGTGGTTGTAGACTTAAGAAGATGTACAATTTTTCGCATGTTTGTTTAATTTCAAGAAGATGAAACTTGATAGACCCATACAAATGGATGAGGTTTACACACACTAGAAAAGTCTCTAGTTTGATGACGATGGATTGATAAAGGGTGATAAATCGAATATACTTATTATGACTGAATAGGAAGTGATTCAAGAGAGATTGTTGAAAGCTGATGATAAAAGGTTCGGTCGAGATGGATGTGACATTTGAAAGATTGATCAAGATATTCTAAATATGTTGAAACATCCTCAACTATCTTTTGATGATAAATATAATGTTAGATTTACGTTATCGAAAATCTATGTAATGTTACATATTTTATGTATGTCATAACAAAGATTTATATTTTTTTGTATCTGTTTGCGGTGCGTGGCAACATGAAAAATTCTGAAAGTTAACTTCAGTAAAAAATACGAACATTAACCTTCAAATTTTTTCAGTTCTATTCTAGCCTAGGTTTTAATAAAACTTGATTGTGGTTTCATTTTTGGTGCGTCTGAAGGTTAAGTTCCAGATGGGGTATTATTGATTTTTCACTCGGGTGGATGAACACCACTAATGGTGCAGAGAGTAATGTAGTATCATGGTTTTAAATTGCAAATCGAATCATGTTATGTCGCCATAATATTTTTGTTACGATAGTGTCCGATCAGACCGCGATTGCAGTGTGATTGTAAATCATACTAAAAACCGCATCATAGCACTGCAACGATCATATCATAACACCACAACAGCTATATTAGATCGTATTAGTCTGCAATAGACTATGTATTGCTCTCAAAAATTACTTAGTCTACCTTCCTTTTTATTTATATTATAGATTTAAGGTAATATTTTAAAAGGATGAAATTCAAAATGATGATTAATTGTTAATGAGATACGTATGAAAATTTAGAGAGATAATCGAATACATGTAAAACATAAAATAATTAATAAAAAATATATTTTATGTTCATAAAAAATAAATTCACACTACAACGGTCGCAATCCGCATCACAATAACCGCAATGACCACAATACACTAACCACAATTTAAAACAATGTGTGCTATTATCATTAATTTTTGATAGAGAGACATTGGTATGATATTTCATACACATGTAAGAGAGATACATGAATTATAGTCAACAAAATTTGGCATGGTTACTCCAAATAAATGATACTCACATTTTTTTTTTCCTAAGATGGTAGCGGTGTGTATTATTGTGAAATTGAAAAGTTTGACTAGACTAAAATCTTATTGATGTGTGGAGAAAATGACAATAAAAATAAATGGTTTTAAGTCAAATTAATATATATATAGAAAAGTGTTAGTAAATTTACACGAGTAAAAAGAATAAGAAAAAGTGACAAGTATACAAATAATTCTTTTATTCAGTTTGATCAAATCCATTTATTATGGAGAGCGAACAACTCTTAAATTGACTGTACTTTAAAAATTATTATAAGAGAATACATATGAATTAAAGCTAATAGTTTTTTAAAATTTCAAGAACATCTTATATTTTCTATCCAACTGTTATCTAATGTCTCTAGATTTCATATATGAATTACACAAATTTAATGTATTTTAAAGTGTTTTCTCATTCCCTTAAATACCTCCAAATATCTTTCAACTCTTAATCTTCAATCTTAAAATTTCTCTCTAGGTTGTTAGAAATCCACCAAATATCTATGATAAATTTCTACCAATTTTGATGAACAAGATTGATATCATCAGACAATGACAATGAATTATAAGAAAAGAAAAGAAAAAAGACAATTATTTTCTGCAGAGTTTTTCTCTACTCATAAATTATGGAAAACTTTATTAATCACTTGCAACGGCAAATTCTTTGATTACAATCAATTGACTTAAAAATTTATTATTAATCTAATTATTTTTATATACGAAAAATGATATTTATGATTCAAATAGTCTTGATCTAAAAATAGTATACGGGAAAAAATTTATTATTGATCTAAATATTTTTATATATGAAAATTTACTATTGATCCAAATATTTTTGTATATGATACTTAAAAAATATATAATTTGTATACGGGAAAAATCTATTATTGAAATATATATTTTATATGCCAAAAATGATATTTATGATCTAAATATTTTTTATTCAAAAATGATATACGGTAAAAAAAATATTATTTATCTAAATTTTTTTATATACGAATATTTACTATTAATTCAAATATTTTTGTAAATGATACCTAAACAAAAATAAAATTCGTATACGGAAAAAAATTATTATTGATCTACATATTTTTATATACGAAAACTAATATTTATGATTCAAATATTTTGGATTCAAAATAGTATACGGAAAAAAATTATTATTATCTAAATATTTTTATATACCAATATTTATTATTGATCCAAATATTTTTTATAAATAATACTTAAAATAAAATAAAATTTATATACGTAAAAAAAATTATTTATTAAATGGATTCTAATTATATTTTTTATTAAAATTATATAATAAAATTAGAAGTTTTTATTTCAATAAATTTTGATATTTTACATATTAGTGTTGGTTTTTGAGTTCGTCTAAGACGAAGCTGAATAAAATGGATTGCAAATTTTTATTCTTTTATGTGATGGTGTTCTTATTTTCTTGTTTGTGTATGAATATGTAAGCGATAAATATAAAAAATAAAGAATACAAGAGATTTATACTTGTTCCCCTCACACTTCGAGAGTACTCCAATCTCCTTACCAACATATAAGAGATTTCACTATAGTTAGAATTATTGTACAACTTATCCACATCCAAATGTGATGCTTACTATCTAATCTATAGGGAGATCAAAAGCTTTAACTATCCTTTAAGATCAAACCAAGTGCATGAAGAACAATTTTCTTCAATGTCCACACTTGTTTCCAACAATCCTGAAAACAAGATAACCAATACAAAGTAAAAAGAGAACAATCCTCCCTTCATATTCTCTTGCTTCTAATAATCTTGGAAAACAAGGTTACACCACAATCACTTTGAAAAAATGATTAGACACAAATGCTTGAAGTAGATATGAAAATTGATAATCAATGTCAATACCAAGTATTGATCTCTTCTCTTTCAAGAGAATAATTCAATGAATATATTACACCAGTGCTCAATGCATATCATAAAACTTTTCTAATGATGTATTTGAAAATGTAAGAGTAAAAGTTTCATGCAAGATCAAAATATTAATCCATGCACTTGTTTGAAAATGAGAAATAAAATATTGAATTGTATATTGTGATTGTTGTTATTTTTTGTGTATTTATTTGAATTATATACATGTATTGCACACTTTCAAAAGGTTCTAAATGAATGTAGAAGTGCAATGATTCATAGACAAATGCAACAAACAAACATCATTCAAAACAATCTTGTTTTTCAAATTCGTTTCAGCGGTAACCGGTTATCAGAATGCAGTAACCGGTTACCCAGTGTAAATAACATTAAAAATTTAAAATGCTGAAACCTGTAACCAATTACCAATGTATGAAACAGTGAAATAACTTTTTAAATGACTTAGAAATGCAATGTTAGTGATATTAAAAGCTATAAAACATGTATGCATAATATTATACATATTTTGAGCA